TTGAGTCGCGACTTGACTCGCGAGTCGCGAGACATCTCGCGAGTCGCGAGATTTTCTGGGCACAGTTTTCTGTCGGCTGTTTCAGTCCTTCCTCGAATTTTCTGGGCCCGGTAACGGATGTTCTTGATATCACAGTCTCGGCTCACGCAATTCTAACCTCGACCGGCACAACCTACCTCCTGAAAACACAACACAGAAAAACACGTAGCAAAACACGGCAAAAAGATACAAAAATATAAACTAAAGACAAAAACACAAAACGAACGAAACGGACCAAATAAACTACAAAAATCCTACAAATGGGGAAAAACGAAAAGAAAATAAGCATGAAATAAAGACACAAAAATGGGACAAACAACTAGGTACTATTTAACATTCATAATACATTTGTAAAGTAATTTTATATTTATTTTTATAACAAAACTAATTTATCTAGTGATGTTAATTGAAATTATTTATCAATTAAATAAACATATCTATAAAACTATTACATAATATGAGTGAGAAAAATTATTATAACATAAGATGGTAAGCCGTACCAATTAGACATGGCCACGGTCAGGTCGACCTGTTCAACCCGAACCGATCCTGAACCTGCCCGAAATCGACCCGTAATCAACGGGTCTTGAATCGAGCCCATAGTTTGACCGGACCAGTTCCAGGCCACCGTTATACTTTTTTAACTGTCGGGCCAGTTCAGGATCGGCCTCGAACCGACCTAGAGACGACCCGTCAATTTTATAAGTTTTCTTTTATTATAAATATATATTTTAGGGTCGGCCCTAAACGAACCGTTGGCGACATGACAACCAGATTGAATCTGGGTCGTTGGACCTATTTTACTATTGGAGATTCAACAGTTAAATTTTATTTTTGTATTATTTTTAGTTAAAGATGGTTCCTGGTCCGAAACGGCCCGTCTTGAACCGCCAACGATCATATTTTTGAATTTGACCGTTGAGATCCATCAACCAAGATTCATTCGACCCGTCTGAACCGTTGGACTAACCCAAATCCAACAATTCAACTAATTAAAAGATATGAAAAATCTCGAAAAAAACCCAATAATAACCCCCCCTCTCCCCCTTAGATTTGTTCACTCTATTTACAACATTCTCCACTCTTCTTTACTCATTTATAAGTTCTTGAAGTGTTCTGTTTTAGTTTTTATCTGTCTAACTCTGTATAAATTTCAGTCCCGATAATACAAACTCACTCTCATTTCGGTTTCGGTTCTATAAATTCTTTACATAATACTGTCTTATTTCTAATTCTATTATTTTCACCTCTCGTTTTTATTTTATAATATCCATTCTTCAAGTTATAAAATGTCGAGTGTTCGTGGTGGTCGTGCCAGTGATCGACCACCAGAAAAGCTTAAAAATGTATGTGAATTTTCTTTGAGTAGACCTTCATTGCCGACGTCGAGACATAAGGTATACTGCAACGTTTCGGGTCTTCCTGATGATGTTGAGCCCGAAACGGCCCAACCCATACAGCGGGACGTTCAACATTTTGAGTGTAAAGTTAAATGTAATATGATTAAATAAAAAAAACTAATTGCAGAATATCACTTTTAAGGTGCAGCAGATGAGTGAGCACTACTGCCCAAACAAAAGTCAGATCGAGACACTTGAAGAAAAGTAAGTAAAAATAAAAAATAAAAAAATGACAGGTACCAACACACTCATTTTTGCTGTTTTCTAGTGATAAGGCCATGTGTGGACCTCAAAATCCTGAATCCACTTTAATGTGCAATAACTTTTTTTATTTTCTTTTTGAAATTTCCTGTACAGTTCGTATTATTATAGAAGGATCCTGTTAAGAACACAGACAAATTTTCTTGAGGATGACAGCTGAAAATTTGTACCAAATTTTGTCAATATAATTGACCAAATTGAAGAAAAAAAATTTCAACTTTGTAGGTGCAGATTGCAAGTTTGAAGTGTCACGATCAAGGAAAAAATATAATGTGTATAAGTTCTTTATTTTCCTTTTGTATTTCCTGTAAAGTTACAACGGTTATATAATATTGATAAAATATTAACCGCAACATGTACAATGCAGATATTTTGACTTTATGATTTCATAATATTTTTCATGCCACAATACAATTTAAATTTTATGAACATTCATGATTTACAATTTCACCTACATATTAACTGTCACTTGGCCAAGATACAAAAGAGATTGCAAATTATAAATTTTCATAAAGTATAAGTTTAAAAAATATTATTAGTTACAAATGGAATGAAAAGTATATTTTACCCAATTATTATATTATATAAGGCCAAGCCCCTTTTTAAAAACACACATATTTTCTAGATATAATTAACACGTTGAAAGTGATATGATATAAACAATAGTAATTAATAATAATATAATAAAAAAATTATAAAATAACAATTGACTGTATAAATGTTTGAGTTGATAAATTCTAAATTCCATAGATAAATGTATAGTTACTATTAATTTTAATTTAAAAATTATATTGAAAAATATGAGTGGACAATCGATAAGTGTTTTTTTTAATTGGTGGATAATGAGTGGAAATGTATCTAATTGCTTTATTGTATTATTTAAATTAATTATTTTTCTATAATAAAATAATTCAACAAAACCATATAGACTCCTAACATCTAAAATAACTGTTCCTTCAATTCATATGGTATTTTACCTAATGATTTTGAAGTCTCTGACAAGGTATAAAGTCCTTTCTTTTTTAATATATTAACTTATACTAATTTAAGTCATGATTAAAAACCAACATAATCATCAACAAATTCAACATTCAAGGCGCACGACACGGCGTCGTTTCACAAGATTGCATCTGGATTCAGATAGAAAAATGTGACCAATTTATCATAGGAAAAAGGAGCGTGACAAATAAAGCTTGTTGTCAAGGAGAAAAAAATAAAAATAAAAATAAAGTGAACAAAAAAAAAAAAACACTGTTTTTACATCTGTAATTTTTGCTCCATCCATGCAAGAGTTCTACCTGCAAAAGAAAATCATACGATGATGAACAAGGGCAAAAAGAAAAGAACACGAAAACCTTAAAAAATTCGCTGGCCCTTTTATTCGTATTTTCTGTAAATTATCTGGGCTTTATTCGAAAGCAGCTATGGCGGACGATCTCTGTTTATTGGCCAAGGTATGTGAAGCTTATGAAACCCCTTTTAATTTTCTTTTATTCGTTAGCTTGTTTGAGATAAATTAGTTGCTTTTCATGGGCGAATGTAGACGATTGGCTAAAGGGGTCGGTAAAGTTTATCTTTTTATTGCATTTTTTTCTACTTTTAATGAATAATGTTTCGTGATCCGACCATTGGGATAACGAAAGGTCGGTCAATTTTTCGCCGTACGTGTTTGATGTTTTACCATAAATGGGAGCAATCAATTCAAGAATTTATTTATGTTTTTTTTCTACCCCTTTTTTTCTAATCTTCAAGCGAGGCCTCTCAAGGTTTTTTCGAATTTGTGGTTGCTATCTTGCTCGCTGCTTTAAAAAAAATAAAATAAAATAATAATAATAATAATAAAAAAAAATTGAGCTCTTGAGTTGAATCTCGTGCTATCTTGAGGATATTATTTGAGCATTGGTGGTTTTTTGTTCAAGCCCAAATCAAGCTACTGTCTGGGTCTGGGGAGTGTTTCTATGCACACACACTCCAGAATAATTATAAAAATAAAAAAAAAATGAAAACTTTATATTTGTGGGGGAG